AGAAAAGGAAAATAAAAAGAAAAACCAAAACTGCACGGTGTAACTTTACTGGAGCATTGCGGTTTGCAAGTAAAAGAAAGGGATAACACAAATTTGTATACCATTACCAGGACTAGGACTGACTCCTCAGTAAATGAACAAAATTAAGAACTACATTTTAATGTTTTTCCTCAACCAAATGAGTTGAAAAAGTTACCCTCAAATGATTACTTGTTAAGAAACCCTTGATAGCCATGAGAATGTTTTGTGTTCAAATGACTGCAGATCTTGCCAATTACATGTGAAGAATTAACCAGTTACTGATGCGAGAGAGAGAGAGAGAGAGAGAGAGAGAGAGAGAGAGTAAACTGGTCCCATAACACTAACATTTTCATGAAAGGAGAGCCTGCAAGGGCACAGCACTGAGTACATGTAGCCAAAATATAAGAGTACAAAATCAGCAAGTAAGGATATACAACTCACATGAGAACAAACAAACCAAGTAACAACATATCCTTCCTTCCTCACATTGTATCCACTGCACGTGAATGCAAAAGATGACTGGTGGTGTTTTCGAGGAGGAGATTTGAATTACAATTCTTTTATTTATTTATTTATTTATTTATTTATTTTTATAAAAAATTAAAAAATTATTCTCAACATATTAATTTTTTTATTTTATATTTTAATTCAAAAAATAAAAAACCAACCAATCATAAAAATTGGACAAATATATATATATATATTTTTTAATCAAAATCCCCAATTTAAACGATCCGTTAAGTGCCCCATTCTACCGACGGAGGGGTAATCTGTAACTAGAAACCAAAACAACCGAGAGGTTCCTATCATTTTTGTAACATCCAGAGGATCCCCGGGCTAAAAAAATTAAAATAAAAAAATGGACTTTGTAATTTATCTATTTATATTTTAAAAATTAAAAAAAATTGATGTTTTCACAAATAATTACAAATTCATTAAAAAAAATTGGTTGATTTTTAGAAAGTCCTATTTCTAATTGTTATATTCCATTTAATCCATCTACTTTTTTAATGAGAAATGACAAGTGGTGGGTGGTGGTGACAGAAGACGGTGGTAGAAAATGGTGACAGGTAGTGGCTAGTGTTGAGTGGTAAAAAAAAATAAACTAAAAACTAAAAACGGAAACACATTTTTTGAGTTTACATTTTTTGGCAAAATTTATAAACTGAGACCATTGATTTATAAATCAAAAATTTACCAAACAAGTTTTTATTTGAATTTTTAAAATTTTTGTAAATATAAATAGAAAACTAAAAATGTAAGTGTTATCAAATGACACCTTAGTTTTTAGTGTATTTTAGGTAGATTATCTACGTAAAAAATTAAATTTATCAAATATTAATAGTTATATATTTAAATTAAATTTATTTTTAGAAAAATAGGTGATTTAATTTTTAAATTATATTTGTCAACTATTTTTTTAAATATATAAATGGGAAAATTATAAAAAAAAAAATGTATGATTTGACTCTTATAATAAAATAAAATTTTTATTTTTATTTTGTCAATTGAAATTATAATTTTTTTAACTATTTCAATTTAACCAATTTTTTTATTTCTATTAAATAAAATCGACGAAAGAAAGAATATTTTAATCATTAAACTCAATAAAAATATTATTTTATACATTTTATGTATACCTATATTAAGTTTAATGACTAATATATTATTTTTTTTTATCGATTTTACTTAATGAAAATAGTCTTATGGTTTAGATTTAAAAAAAAAAATCAAAAGATTAGGATTTAAATTAATAAAATTAAAAATTCAGGGTTTATTTTGTTATAGAGGTCAAACTATGTTTTTTTTTTTTAATAAAAAAAAAATTATCTCAAGATAAATGTAGGAGTTTTTAGTTTAAGATCTTTGATATCAAAATTTTATGAGATAAATGACATGTAATATTTTCATAATAGTTGGGGTCCCTCGACATTTTTATAGAAATTTTTAGCTCTTCATAAAAATAAAAATAAAAAAAATTCACAAAGAAAGTTTTCTTCAGAGAAATTTTTCTGCAACGAGTTGAAATTTCTTTAATAATATTATTGAAAGACCTTAACTGATAAGAAAAATTATATTGGACCTCTCCTATTACTCAAAATTAGAGAGGAATGTTTCACTAATTTTGCTATAAATGTAATCTAAAAGCCAAAAAGTTACTAAAAAAACTAAAACATATAATCTATACCAAAAAGTCAAAGATTCATTTTTCTCCCTACTTTTTGCACATCTTTTCGTAAAAAGCTAAAAAGTCACCCTAAACATACTAGTTTTTTTTTATCTCATATTTTAGTTAAAAAGTCAACAGTTACTAAAATAGCATGTTCCCAAACGTTGTATGTATTCAAATAAACACACTAAAATATGAATAGTTAAAATTAACAAATTAAACCCAAAATGAGTCTCCTACTTTTGCATTTGACCTCCAATGTATTAAATAATCATCATCATCGTCATCATAATAATAATAATAATAATTTAAATTGTGGATCAAAATTTTCACAGATTGAAGAACATGGAGTGCCCGGGGAGGCCTGTTTGAAAGTTCTTTGAATAGAAAGGATCCATTCACAATTTATATATGAGTAAGTAATGTTATACAACTAAATTGTTTATACATAAAATTTATTTAGAGTAGAATAGGAAAATTCTATTGATACATAAAAATTATACCAAAAAAAAAAAGAAGAAAAAATTCACAAGAATGATATGGTAGTATCATTATTATAAATAAATTCATTTTCAATGGTATTTTGTTTTGAAGTAAAAAGGCTCACAATAAGCCATATCAGAGTGCTCGTTTGGCATGTGGATTTGAGTTAAGTTGGGGCTATTTTAACCACAAAAAAGAAAAAATAGTTTTTTTAGCCCAGGCTAAAAGTTGTCATATCCAAACCATAATAATTTTATTTTTTCTCTCACAAAAATCAAAATAATAAAAAAGCTCATCACAAACGAAGCTATTTTGTTAAAATAGCCAAAAATTTAAAAAACCAACCTACATGTCAAATGAAGCCTATATATGAATTTTTTTTTCTTTGTACAGCATTACTCTTTAGAATAATATGATAGTGCCATTTTTACAATTCTAATAGTCTACAATGATATGCGTGTTTTGGTTTAAAATAAAAATTTCGGAAGAAATTTTTGAAAGAGATTGAAAACTAAGTGAAAAATAATAATAAATCAAAGCATTTATCAGTTTAAAAAAAAAATTAAAATTAAAAAATATTATGTAGGTATTTATTTTGTCAAATTATTGAATTTTCTGTAATGACTACCAATTTTTATATGTTCTTGCAGTGGAAAAAAGCTTGCAGCACTTGAGGTTTGTCATGATCACACGTGAATGTGGCTTGCATCGACATTTTGACTTCCTAAAGCTTGCAGCACTCACAAGCTTTAATTTTAAGCTTTGTCATGATGACATGTCAAAGTGGCTTGCATCAACATTTTGACTTCCTAATTAATTTTGCATTTAAAAATTACTACTGTTTTTATATCATTATTGGGTACAGATAGGTAGACAAGATTCAATTTTTAAGTTGTAACTGGAAAATTGAACTGAGACCACAAACATGTGAAGAACAATCTTTCAAGTTACCAACATATTGATTTGATGAATTTTATATTTCAAAAATTAAGTGGTAGGAGCAGGTGATATTACAACAGGTGACAGATGAGACAGTCAGGAATAATTTTAGTACTTTCATCTATTGATAAACAAACCTCGGGCCTGGCCGGGTATGTACTACTATATAATAAGAAAATATGTGTTATGTCAAGTTCTGCCTACCGCAGCATCAGGTCTAATCTAGTTATTCCAAGTCTGACTCTAAAAAAAATTTCAAATCTTAAGCCCGCCCGTTTAACCTAATAGATACAGGCTATCAAATTTTTATTTATTTATTGTCTTGAAGAGATACTAAATTATGTAAATCATTTTAATTATTATTTGAATTTGAAATATTAATAAAATAAAATAGTAAAATCAATATGATCTTTTAAATAAGTCTTAAGAAAGAATTATGTATCTATATTATCATTTATAATTTTTTTTACTTTATTTTATAACTAAAATAATATAAAATTATAATTAATATTTTACAAATTAGTAGACCAGGCTAGGTTAGGCTCACACTCTGTATCCCAAACGCAATTCAAAATATTAAATGGATACGAATTCTCAACCTAATTTGGCTTTGTGAGTAAAATATTTTTTCAAATTTTAAAAATATTGAACTAAACTCGAAAAATTGAGAGGGCTATCAAACCCATGGCTATCCCTACTTCCACCCAACATTGATAAGATTTAAACCCTAAATTCTTACGTGAAAATGTTGAAAAAAATGACATTTAAGTGACCAACATGTGTATCAAGAACAAAAGCTTATCAATCAACATATAATATGATCTTTTAAATAAGTCTTAAGAAAGAATTATGTATCTATATTATCATTTATAATTTTTTTTACTTTATTTTATAACTAAAATAATATAAAATTATAATTAATATTTTATAAATTAGTAGACTAGGCTAGGCTAGGCTCACACTCTGTATCCCAAACGCAACTCAAAATATTAAATGGATACGAACTCTCAACCTAATTTGGCTTTGTGAGTAAAATATTTTTCCAAATCTTAAAAATATTGAACTAAACTTGACAAATTGAGAGGGCCATCAAACCCATGGCTATCCCTACTTCCACCCAACATTGATAAGATTTAAACCCTAAATTCTTACGTAAAATGTTGAAAAAAATGACATTTAAGTGACCAACGTGTGTATCAAGAACAAAAGCTTATCAATCAACATATAGATATACTCCACCACCAAGCTATAATTAACCTATATGTATACTTATCAAGATCAAAAGTTGGTCAATTAATACATATGGCGTCATATACCCACTAAGCTGAGTGATGGATCATAGTTGTCACCAACATCTGTCAAAAATACAGAAATCTGGGATAGCTTTGGTATATATCAGCCACAAAGTTTAGTCCACCTAATTGATAAAATGCCAAATCAACACTTCCACTATATGGATTTCAATATCAACATTATTTCATTTCAATCAAAACTACACATTTTGAGCACCAACCTTGCCATCAACAACTATAAATAGCTGAAACTCCATGCAATGCCACTCATAGAAAGCTCTCATTGATCTCATATACTTGTTCAAGATAGTACATTATACTAATTGCATTGATAGGCACCATCTTGAGTTTTCTTTGTTTCCAAACACCCGTTTACCATATTTTCTTATAACTCAATCACAAAAATGGCTAGTGTGAAGTCCCTAGCATATTTTGCCTTGCTTCTTCTTGATACTTTTGCTATTGTCAGTGAGAGTAGGGTGGCAAGAAAAGACTTGGGTGTGGATCTTGGTGGTGTAGGAGTTGGGGTTGGAGGAACTGGTGTAGGCTTGGGCTTGGGCTTGGGTTTGGGGGGTGGATCAAGTGGTTCAGGATCTGGATCCGGGTCTGGATCAGGGTCTAGTTCTGGGTCAAGTTCAGCTTCTTCATCAGGGTCTGGGTCGAGTTCTGGGTCTGGTGCAGGTTCTGAAGCAGGTTCGTATGCCGGGTCCTACGCTGGGTCTAGGGCAGGGTCAGCTTCAGGAAGCAACGGGGGACGCGGAGCAGGATCTGGATCGGGTCAAGGTCATGGGCAAGGTTCAGGAGAAGGGTCTGGATCGGGATCGGGTTATGGTCAAGGCAGTGGTTATGGGTCAGGTTATGGTGAAGGGAATGGTGGCAACTAAGAACATGTCATCCTAATAATAAAAAAAGTAAAATATTTGTCACTATTTTTTGTGTATAAATAAGTTGAATGGTGATTATTATCTTGAGAGACTTGTGTTTTTTTTATTTTGAATCTGTTCTGGATCTTATGAATATTAGTTCAAAAGCCTGTATGCTTTGTATCAATAATATATATATATATATATATATATGATCTACTTTACCTGTTTCTTTCACAATTTAACTCTAGTTTATTTTATTTTATTTTTTCCTTTTGGTTTGACAATTATATCTTCAGTTTGCTTTATACTCAAACAACAATGCCATTGTTATGTTGAATGGTTTTAATTGTATAAATTTCGGCTACTTAATTGCCAAAGTTCCATGGCAGATTAGAGAGCAACTCGGTAGATATTTTAAATGAGAGAACTTGTAAAACTGACCTTATATATTATTTTTCTTTATGAAATAAAAGTTTTACTAGTTTTATTATGAGAACCCGAATATAAAAATCAAGTAAATAATTAAATAATAATAATATTACAATTTCAAATATTTTGGTAGTGAATCTTAAAGTGCAAATTAAATATTTGGAAGGTCTTTTAATTAATTTTAAAATCTAAAATAAATTTATGGTGAAAGTCTTTAATTTAGAGGCAATGTTTATTATAAATAAATAAAAAATAGAGAAGAGGGTGCGACTTGAACTTTGGATCACAAAATTAATAAATAAGACTCTTACCATTTGAGTTGTATATAACTTATACGTATATTTTGTATATTTATCTATTTATTTGACCTACACATGCTTTAGGTGTACCCAACCACTAGTATAAAATAAAAACAAAACAAAACCCTACATCTTCTAACAATTTCCCTAGTGGCAGCAGCAGCAACAACCGTGAGAGAGAAGAGAAACGAAAGGTTGCAACTAATTAAGGATCGAATTGGGTGTGTTCTGCTGTGTGTGATCATCAAAGGATAGCTCTCCTATGTTTTCTTCTCTTTTCTCTCTGTTCTTCATCCTTATTCTATAATTATTTTATTCATTCATGGAGATGTTGTAGGTTTATATATTTTGTATATATATATATATACGGTTAAGAAATTTGAGGAGTTAAATTCATGTATAAAGAATGGGTATAATTCTTAGTCCAAAAATTCTGCACAGAACCACAAACTTTAAAAATTAAGAAACCATATCAAACGGATGAATTTTGAACTGAAATTTTTACAATAGATTAATTACATATTGAATTGAATATCTAAATTTTCTCATAATTTGTGGGAGTCAAAATCCATATAAACTGATGCGTTCAAATCTGTCCAGAAAACTGGTTGTGAACAGTAAGTTTGGGAGTGTTGTTCTCTTTGGGTATAAATCCGAAAATTATCAAATTAGTGTTATTAGAACCGGTTACGAGTCTAGTTTTGTACGTTTTTGGCCTTGCATTGATTGCTCATGTATACTAAGAGAACCATTAATTTCTTTAAAATGCTGAAGAAAACAACTTGTTTGGATATAATAAATTGTAGATAATTATTTTGATAAGCAAATCAAGTGAAACCAATTGGGTTTGAAACTTAGGATGTACTAGTTGATATCTGGAGAGTATTGGAATTTTTCGAATAGCGTGGAGTGGGTTTTGTAATTTTCAAAGTTAGCGAATAGATTGGGACAGCTTGTTTAAAATTCTGTTTTATCTTAAAGTCACATTTAATTAAGTTTCGACCGGAACTCATGTCTTGGGTGATTTTAAACCTTGAACAACATGAACTTAGGTAATATTTAAGAGTAACGGTGAGTTGGGTTGAGTCGTATTAGTGCGCTTTAGTTGAGGTTATTTAGTTCCTATTTTTTAGTATTTTTAAATTAGTAGTTACGTGTAGTTTTTATACTTGGTTCAAGGTACTAGTTGGACTTTCATACTCTATTTGAGGATTATATTATTTCATTTTCAGGTGAGTAGTTTCATGCTACATATTTTTATAAACGTTCCCCTACCCTGAACTGTTGGAAAATTAAATTGTTGTTTCATGACTAAACTGTTTTGATAAATTATTATATTATCAATTGAATCAAATTATTTCTGAAACATGTGTGAACTTGGCCTACTGTAAACTATTTGTTTTGGTCTCATGTTTATAATGATGAACTGTCACGCTCCAAAATTTGAGACCGCAAGAGAAATATATAAAGTACAACTCAAACAAAATAGATAACCACAATACGTTAATATACACATACAAGCGGAGTTATAACATGGATAACTGATTTGAGTTCTACTAGAGGTTTACAAATATTGTCAACCAAAAGGTAAAAGAAGAGAGAACACAAAAACAAACTACTAGTCTAAATTTTCAAGTGAACCACGGTTCTAAAACTTCATCTTGATTGTCTTCGGGATAACCTTCCCCGTCGTAAGCTGCTTCTTCACCTGGCATGACACGCCATGAGCTTGGAATGCCCAGTAAAAACACACAGACCCCCATATCTTCTATCAATCAATCATACACAAAACAAATCAAGTAACATAACATACTTACATTAAGGTTTTATAAATCAGTAGTTAGACTAGGCATTTAGGACCCCCCAAAGAGATCCTTCTACCCAACCACAAGGATTGAACACCAGACTATTCAGAACTCCCCCTTTTGTTGCTTTGCAGACCTTACCACCTATGCCCACCTTCTGATTAATTACCTGTCAGTGGCATTGATGGACCTCAAAAGGGACGGCCAACAAGCGGGCTCGCTTACACCCAAATCGTGTCTTGGGCTCGCTTACACCCTGCAAATACCATACCAAAGGGCTCGCTTACACCCTGAAACCGCTGCATAGAGTCTGAATACATCCAGGTCAACCCAGGGGCTCGCTTAAACTGCTTACGCAAGACTTAACTCATTTGGTATTAACCCCATCATAATTCATGTCATGCATATGTATAAAATTGTTCTAAAACACTAAGATAAACGTCACCTATTGCCAACCCCTTAACATTTCCCGTTTATTAGATCTTTTGCTAGGTGAGTTAGTCACATTCGGTAATTTGGTTAATTAAACGAGTATGGGAAAAACATACTAGAGGAAATATAGTCCATGATCATCATACATAAGTGCATAAGTATAGTTAAGCAAGAAATAACATTAAAAAGGCCTGAAACACTTAGAGACAAGTCACATAGTATAACACAATTTCCAGCACCGGTCGGTTCTGCAGGGCTAACAAGAACGCTTTGGTAAAAATAATTCTAGGTCAAATTAGGGGCTGAAATTGCACATAAATAATAATTAACCTGTCTAGTTTCAATTCCAATTCACAGAATGTGCATAGCACCTCCAGAAATTCATCCACAAGCTATATTCAAAAACCTGTCCAGATTTGTCACCCATTGGGAAAACTAGCGTTTCTCTCAATCTACCCGATGGTTTTCACTCAAATAACATCTGTTGGAAAGAGGACTTAGATTTCTAAATTTTGACAAAAGAACCAACACGAGATGATTTTTCTAGAATTTTATAAAATTACTAAAAGTGGACTGTTTTTCAGAGATTCAGGACCAGATTTTTCAACAAATTATCCAAGTCCTAAAAACACACAATTAGGGGCTAATAAAATTGTCACAAGCTCTAAACACACAAATTATCTTACAATAAATTCAGATTTGAGAAATAAATAGGTTTGATATTTCTTTTAAATATTAGAAATTGCAGTAGTGCATATTTTGAATAAAATTGTAAGACAATGTCACCAATTCACACCCACACATGCATACACACCAAAAACTCAATTTACCATTAATACATAACCCAAGGGAGCATCTAGACAATAGGATGATATGGGTAAAGAAATTTTTTTTTGAGAAAACAAGGGAGAGGTGTATTTTTACCTTCAAGAAGTCTTTTTTTTTCTTCTTCTTCTTCTCACTTCTCTACTCCCCTTGACTTCCCTTGAGCAAACTCTCCCTCTCTCACCCTCTCCTTGAGCTGATGAAAAATGTGGGTGTGGATTGGGACCAACTCTCAATTTACATAATATAGGTAGCTTAATGGCTAAGGGACTAAATATCTAGATATTTATTTATTTATTTATTTATTTATTTTATATACTTCTTTTTTGTTATCAACCCACTCTTCCACCAATATTATATATATATATATATATATATATATATATATAAACTATGTATATATTCAAGTACACAATAATATTCCATTCAAATAAATAATTAATGAAAGAACAATAATAAAAAAAAAATAGAAATAACAATAAAATGTGTGAATTAATTTAGAAATTATGAGGTAAATAAATAAAACCAAGGTTTAGGATAGTTCCAATCATAAAGTGGTGTTCTATGATTTAATTATGGTAACACACGGAGAAATTATTCTTTACTTGGGCCCTTACACAGATTTTTACGGAACTAGGGTTAAAATGCTATTAACCTAAGGCTCAGGGTTTCAAGTGTAATTAAAAAAATTTAGGGTCTCTACAACCTATCCCCCTTAAATAAATTTCGTCCTCGAAATTAGATCATACCTTACGTCCCAAATAGTTGTAGATAATTTGCCCGCATCGCATCTTCACGTTCCCAGGTGAACTCTTCAATACCATGGTGACGCCAAAGTATCTTAAGAAGGGGATTTGTCTTCCCTCGCAAGTTCTTTTCTTGTCTGTCTATAATTGCTACAGGTCCCTCTTCAAAGGTAGCGTCCTCATTGAGTTGGATTTCTTCCCAGTTGATGATGTGAGAAGGGTGCATTATGTACTTTCGCAGCATAGATACATGGAAAACATCATGTACTTCAGCCAACTGTGGAGGTAAAGTCCACTTGTACGCAACCTCTCCGATTTTATGAAGTATCTCCAAGGGTCCAATATATCGGGGTGATAATTTTCCTTTCTTTCCAAAACGAATAATCCCTCGACGGGGCTGAATTTTCAGGAAACATGATCACCGGTAGCGAAGGTTTGCGGTCTTCTCATTTTATCTGCATAACTCTTCTAACGATCTTGAGCTGCCACTAATCTTTGTCGAATAAGTTTTACCTTTTCTGTAGTTTCTTGCACGATTTCTGGGCCCAATAGACTCACTTCTCCAACTTCAGTCCAACAAACTAGTGATCTGCAAGGCCGACCATACAGTGCTTCGAATGGAGCCATGCCAATACTAGCCTGGAAACTATTGTTGTATGTGAACTCCACCAGCGGTAGGTGTCGCTCCCAGCTCCCTTTAAAATCCATCACACAAGCTCTTAACATGTCCTCCAAAGTTTGAATGGTACGTTCCGACTGTCTGTCAGTTTGAGGATGAAATGCGGTACTGAAACATAATTTGGTCCCTAACGCTTCCTGTAAGCTTCCCCAGAATCGGGAGGTGAAACGCAGGTCTCGGTCGGACACAATTGATACAGGAATTCCATGTAATCGGATAATTTCCTTAATGTAGAGATGACTCAGCGATGTCAAAGTGTCGGAGATTTTGTATGGCAAAAAGTGCGCAGTTTTCGTCAAACGATCAACTATAATCCATATAACATCATATCCTCTCGGTGACCTGGGTAGTCTAGTGACGAAGTCCATTGTTACATGCTCCCATTTCCATTCTGATATTGGCAAGGGCTGAAGCATCCCCCCAGGTCGCTGGTGTTCTGCCTTTACTTGCTGACACGTAAGGCATCTGGCTATGAATTGAGCCACATCTTTCTTTATTCCCCTCTACCAATATTGACGTTTTAAGTTTTGGTACATTTTCGTCCCTCCAAGGTGCACTACGAACATTGAATGGTGGAACGCCTTTAAAACTTTTTCTCTAAGTGACTCATCTTGTGGTACTAACACTCTACCCTGATGTCTCAAACTTTCATCTGAATGAATCGTCCAATCAGGTATAGGATCGCCGGATGCTATTTGCGCTTTTATGAACGCCACTTCTTGATCATACTTCTGTGACTCTATTACCTCGTTCAGTAATTTGGGTGTAGCGATTTGAGCACCAAGGTATACCTTCTCGTCCTGAGCTTTCATCTGTACTCCAAACTTATTAAGTGTTCCGACCATGTTCCATTCCTTGAGTGCCAAGCTAGCAATAATTCCCCGGTTCTTGCGACTCAGGGCATCCGCCACCACGTTAGCTTTGCCAGGATGATAGGATAGAGTAAAATGGTAATCTTCGAGGTATTCTAGCCACCGTCTTTGTCTCATGTTCAAGTCCTTCTGCGTGAACAAATATTTCAAGCTCTTATGGTCCGTGAAAATCTCAAATTGTTCACCATACAAATAATGACGCCACTGCTTTAATACAAAAACCATTGCTGCCAACTCTAGATCGTGTGTCGGATAATTCTTTTCATGCGGTTTCAGTTGCCTGGAGCCGTAAGCTACCACCTTCCCTTTTTGCATTAGTACACAGCCTAGCCCATCCTTGGATGCGTCGCAATATACCATATATCCTATGTCTCGCTCCGGAATGATGAGTATTGGGGCACTAGTCAATCTCCTCTTGAGTTCTTGAAAGGATTGTTCACTTGCTTCGTTCCAATCGTATTTTACCCCTTTTTGCGTTAGACGAGTCATCGGCTTAGCTAGTTTAGAAAAGTCTTGAATAAACCGTCGGTAATAGCCGGCCAACCCTAAGAAACTACGAACTTCAAATACTGAGGTTGGCTGTTTCCAATCTAATACTGCTTCCACCTTGGCCGGGTCTACAGCGATTCCATGCTTCGACACGACGTGTCCCAAAAATGTGACTTCCTTCAACCAGAACTCGCATTTACTTGCTTTTGCGTACAGCTGGTTATTTCTTAAAACTTGGAGAACTACTCTCAAGTGTTGCTCATGTTCCTCTTCCGACGGTGAATAGACTAGAATATCGTCAATAAACACCACCACGAACTGGTCCAAGTACGGAGTAAAAATCTTATTCATCAAGCTCATAAACACGGCTGGTGCATTGGTTAATCCAAAGGGCATTACCACAAATTCGTAATGGTCATATCGGGTTCGAAAAGCAGTTTTTGGTATGTCATCATCAATGACCCGCAATTGATGACAGCCAGATCTAAGATCAATCTTTGAATAACACTTTGAATCTCGAAGTTGGTCAAAAAGGTCATCAATCCGTGGAAGTGGATATCGGTTCTTGATCGTCACCCGATTGAGTTGCCGATAATCTATGCACAATCTTAGTGTTCCGTCCTGTTTCTTTGCAAATAGAACTGGTGCGCCCCATGGTGAGGTATTTGGTCGGATAAATCCCTTGTCCAGTAATTCCTGCAGTTGCGTCTTCAACTCCCGAAGTTCAGTAGGAGCCATACAGTGGGGTGTCAGGGATATTGGTGTAGTACCTGCTTGTAACTCGATACTAAAATCTACTTCACGATGTGGTGGTAATCCTGGCAATTCCTCAGGAAAAACATCAGCGTATTCACAAACTACACGCGGAAGATTTAATTCTGATTGAGCTTCTTCATTAATGATCAAACTTGCTAACCATCCAGCAAATTGTCGATGCCACTGCATTTTACGATTTGTTGTGCTCAGGGAATCCTCTCTATCCCCCTTAAATTGGAAACACGTTCCACTAGGTGTGCAAACCGTCACCCTCTTGTGGTAGCAATCAATCACTGCTTGGTGGGCGGATAACCAATCCATTCCCAAGATTATGTCAAAATTGGACATGTTCA